TCAGGAATTCCAGGATGGGAACCTCAATTTCGAAGAAGTATATGGTCATATATCGGACCAAAAGCTTCAATACCCAGAGGCCAAGCCCATCAAATCCGCGCTATTGACGATATTCAGATCTGAGATCTGCCAATTCGTCATTTGGATGCATCATCTGCTGAAATTGATTAATTTGCAGATATCATTATGAAACAAGAGCTCGATATGACCCCTGATATATTCGATCAGATTTATCAATTTTATTATGATGCCAAATATGCGCAACTTCCTCATCCATTCGTTCTCGCAAAATCGACTAGTATTGCCTATACGATCCAATTTATGATCCTTCTAGGTCCTGTGCCTCAGGATGCCGACCCAAGTCGTCCCTATTACCTCATTATCCAGCACGTATTCCTTCATCGCATCAAGACCTCAGCAAAAGATTGTATAGCTATGGGCAAGGGCAACCCTATGCACTTCGAGTGGGGCAAGAATATTCGATATAGGTTCGCGACCCTCAACTTTATGATGATCCGGAGATAGGAGGTAAATAATGACGCCATTGGATAATCAAATCTAAATATGAGAAAAAATTTCATTCAATCAAATTCAGCGCATGGCAGGCTATGAATTCATTCGTAATTTCGATCCTCGTTATAATAACCGCAATCAATTTATGGAGTGGATAGATGAATAGATCTACTTCCCCCGGAGGCAAATTCGAGAACTGACAAGAAGCCAAAATCAAGGAAATCCTTCTCAATTATATGAAGGATCGTCAGAATCTCAAGACCTTAGAATTCTGGTCATTCACTCTCAAGATATTCGTTCCTTGGTTCTTGGATCGATTGCTAGCCAAGATATTTCCTGTAATGCAGCAAGATTCTATAATACGGATTGGTCGTACCCGCACCGGAAAATTTGTCGAATCTAAAATTATCCTTTTCATGAAATCCAAATATGAGATAGATCAGGTCGAACGGACCGACCTCGTTCCCTCGATCGTGATGGCAAAGCTCCTGGATTTTTTCAAAGCTGAGCTTCTGATAAAATTCAAAGCAATTATTTTCGATGACGGAATATTATAACGCATACATTCGTCTTTCTTCAAAGAATTCCTGAATCTATTATATCCTGATTTTTCATATTTCGTCAATTCATTTTATTATATCCCTTTTCATAGATTTTTTCTTCATTCTCCTATATTGGTTTATTTTAAAATATCAAAGTTGGGAGGAGGACATTATTATCTGATCACGATATTCTTCGATTCCATTCGATCAAAGATCAGGACGCCACGCATATATATTAATCCTCAGAATCATGATATTGAGGAGGAGATTCAATAGGAAATGAATAAATCTATGATCTGGGAGATCGATTATGAGAACTTTCTCAAATCTATCAAGCCGTCGTTTCTTAATAGAGATGATCATGAGGATATAGACGCAATCATGACCAGAATATATCCTTCATTGGGATTACAGAATCTGATATTTTTTTCATATTCCTAATATATCGAAAGATCCCATCTCCTTCATCCCTTGGAGGCCTCTGGAACCCAAGGATCTCATGACCGCCTCGCACCATCCCATCTTCAAATAATACAAGACGATTCCGCGTATTCATCAATACCCCGAATCGTAATTTGAAGAGTTAGCATGCTCGCAAGAATTTCTTCGGCGTCTTCTTCATGGGGAAATATGCCGCGCAATTGAAAAGCGCGAAATTCAATGAATATGATCAGCGAGCGCTCTCTCAGGCTAGTTTGCTATAATGAAAATAAATAAGTATATATCTCAAAATTTCTTTCAAATATCCTTTATTTAGAATCAAGATCTAGGATATTATTCAATGCAAATTCAAAGGTCAGCTTGTATTAGCATGATTATTGTTAAATATGATTATCAGTAGGTCGCCGGCATCGCATCATCCAGAACTACTGTCTGAACCCATGCTTCGTGCTAAAATCAAGCAGGAATAGATTTTCATGGCCTTCTATTCATTGAATACCTCTACGCCCATCATGATTGACCTTGATTCCTCATCTCCTGGGAAGAATAACGCGATATCCTCTGCCTCCATGCCACAGCCGCCAAAACGCGCCAAAATCATTATTAATCTAGATATCCCTAGATTATCCTTCGAGATTGACGGGAATGAAGACGACGTCATTCCGTAAATCGATCGTCTATCAGATGAATTTAGAAAGGATCATAGATGATGAGGGCTTCGACGGCTGCTTAAACGCAAATAAATGAGGGACCGCTATATTCCAGCTAGCCATCATATTATATCATTATGCTGCGTTCTTGATATTTGGCATAAAGAAAGAATATGAAATAATGAAATCTTATAGATCATGAGATTTATTAAATCAAATATATAAAGATAATTAAAATGAAGATATCGAAATATCTATTAGCATTTTAAAAGATTTATGATATAATATGTTGATATCATGATATTTCTTCCGATCGATTCCTTATCGATATTAAAATATCTTGCTTCTATATTCATTCAAAAGAAGCCAATAAATATTCAAAATCTATATTTGAAAAATTCCGAGATATCACGAATCTTCATCGTAAATGAAATCTATTTGAATAAGCGTAAATCAAAAATATTATTCAAATATAATCATCTCCAATGAAATGAAATTATTTTGGGGGGCGTTATTAGACGGCCCTCTTAAAATTCATTTCATTTTGCGTGTGTCATCTCATTGATATATTCGAGGGACTTACTTGCGGACAGATAGAAATAATTGAAAATCTTAAATTATTAAATCTCCGCAAAAGAAATTTATTCATTCTTAATTATTTCTATTATGAAATCATTTCAGAAAAATATTAAATTCATTGAAAATAATTTCAACATGAATCGTCAATGAATCTAAGAGAGAACTAAGTAACCAGAATGCTTTAAATAATATTATCGGATAGAAAAAAATCAGTAATCAAGAAATAGATCCGAAAATATATCTTATTATAAAATATTTCTACGTAGAAATAGATTTACTCAATATATCCCGTATAATTGCTCAAATCCTAATCTATCTATGTATGAGCTATTCATATAATTCCATATTCCTAAACCTCATCGATACTCGAAATTCATTCAAATAATATACATATATAGGAATTTATCATATATCATATAATCCAGTATATAATCCGAGATTCAACGAAATTCAATTCAAAAGCTTATTATATATATATACGAATAGATTCAATTATATTTTTTTCTTCTCTTTAAAATTATCAATTCCTCATATCATTGAAAAATATCAACGTATATAAAACGATCAACCCAAGCTTTGAAAAATTTCATTTTATCTTTTTGCCTCCTGTAAGAATATATTTCCTTATTTCAGTGGAGGACGACATCCTCGCAATATTATCATTTAAATTCATACCCAATCATATATACGGGATTCTCCGATACTTTAATTTCTTCTTTATTATCCAGACTTCATATAATTCCAAATAAAAATATATATGCAATATTTCTTTATCATCTAGATTTCATATAGAAATAATTCCAAGAAAATATAAGAATATCATATATTTTCTTGTTTTCCAAATGAGAGATATCGCATAGTCTTTATCATAAATATCAAATATTCTCTATTAATCTAGATTATTTCGTAGAATATTGCCCTCATTTCATATATGGCTAAGTCATTTAATTCCGAGCCCGAAATTGATTAATTTCATTTCGTATTCTTTCCTATCATCTCCTATTCGTTCCATTCTCGCCTGTTGAGATCTGTGGCGGTCAAACCCGCAGCAACCATCAGACGATGACCTCAAATATTGCGATCCAGGCCTGGCTATTTTGATGAGTATTTGTGCGATCAACCTCTGAGAATTTTGTATTATTAGGCGGCTGGGACCCAAACTCAAGGCAGATTAATGACACAGGAATCCGGGGAGTTGGGAGGCTTTGGTATGGCCCACTTGCGGGCCTTGCCCCACTTGCAACCCAGTTGCAGCACACCTGCCTTCCACTTGACCTACTTGTGGACGTGGACCACATGTGTCAATTAGGCCAAGCGTATTGTAAAAGCAATTGTACCAAGTGTGCAAATGTGTCAAAATCGGATATTGCGTCCTGAAGTGCAAATGGGCCAAGTGGTGTGCTGCAATCGGCTAGTGGTTCCTGCCAGCCTGCCGGCGATCGCAGTGCAAAAGCACCAAGACACCTTTTCAGCTCCGTTGTTGTGTGTATGGGGGGAAGCAAAGCGTGGAAAGCGCACAACTCAGCCCGACGATTACAAATGCCGCACCAAGCAGATCATATGAGTTTGAACAGCAGGGTCAACGAGACTTTTATTTGTTTAGCACAAGAACTCAACATTTGCATGGAATCTTCTCCACCAAGCTCAACCCCAAATACTATCCGGCTAGTCCCTCAAACCCTTCTGCGTCGAAAGGATCACTTCCACGGATGACCTCATTTTGACAGCGTTGTGGGGTGAGACGTGAGCGTTCTGGGGTGAGACGTGGTGAGTAGGCTGGTCTAGCAAGATGAAGCGCAAACAACGGCCTATCAACTCGCAGGGTGCTTTCTCCATGCTTCATGAGTCAGCCTCTCGGCTTCGTTAGGCCTACAAGCTGGGAGCAGCACCATCCGGCAGATGTGCCGGGCAGCTGCCCTGACACGTTCAGACAGGGCACTTATGGAGTGCCTCTGCTTTTTGTAGGGGTCTTTGCTGCGATTGTCAGCTTCCTGCTAACCCACAAACTCTCTCAAAACTCAATCCCTCTAACCTATATACAGTGTTTAGGATCTGGCCTCTTGCAGTCTTGAATCGCTAAACCCTCCCCGGAGAATCCTACAACTGAAAAAGATCATCAACACTCGTACGCTGCACGAACGCAGTTCCATGCACATAGCCTTGCCACCCCGACTCCCAACTCTGTGGAATACTGGATTTCAAGCTGTCTTCTAGTCCTGGCATCCTCTGGTATCAAGCGGCATGAAGAGCCAAGCATGTTCCTCCTCACGTTCGCTCACGTCCGCTTCGCTGCTAGCGGCGTCATGGGCACCTCACAAGGCCGGGCCGCGCTGAAGGTAGGCTAGTGATGGAGGGATCTTAGACTTGAGCGCAGCATTCGCTCTGAGAAATGTGCTGCGTCTGAGGTTTGTTTGCTTGTGAAGTCGGTGGGCAGTTGACAAAGTCGAAAAGCCTAAGGCCCTGGGCTTAGATGATCCGAGATGTGAAAGTATGTGAAAATGGCAGGGCTTTACGTAAGGTGGCAGGATGTGTCAGCTTGCGGTGCCAACATCCGGGAGCCTCATGCAAGAAATCTCACTCTTGCCCCAGTTGCCAGATCATGCTAGCTAGAGCGTTCTAGCTGCGCATGTGACAAAGACAGAGCCGGTAAGCTCTTGGCCCGATCTGGACGATGTCGCCGGTCGACGGGATTGAGCGGAGCGGGGTTTGGCAGCAGCTCGAATCCCTGCAGTCTTGCAAGTCATGCATCAGTCTGGGATGCACCGCAACAAGCCACGGATCTACTTCCCAAGTTTTGCTTAGAGGGCGCTGGGAGGACTGGAAGAAGTGTGCTTGATCAACAAATGCTGCGACTGGAAATATTCTAGCGCCTGCTTCTGAAGTTTCCTAGACCGGGCTCCTGCACATGTTGTGCTGGGAAGCTGAACTTTTGGATTGAGGACGCATGTTGTTTCGATCGCTTCTCTGTCCTCTGGTCAAAGTACAGCGACAGCACTGTATAAGAAATCATTGGTTTAAGAAATTGAGCCCCTCGGCGGCCGCGCCTAGAAATGTATGATGAAAATACAGTGCAAATAGAAATTCCCCCCCCCTAACCACCCCCTCCGCTAGGACGGACGCCCCGAATCAGCCCCCGCGATGGCAATACCCCCAATTACAACCTTAACAAAGGCGACAACCCTGATAACTACCGCTTTCACTGGGGCGATACCCCAAATCACGCCTCCAGTAGGGCGACACCTCTATTGACTGCCGCCGCTAGGGCGACATCTGCGCAACATGACCGAAAAATCCTTGAAAACAAGAAATATATTAAAATCAAGTAGAACCAACAACCAAATCACTGAAACACTGAGAAATCTCAGAGATCTCAAATGCCGAAAAACCAACGTGAAATCACGCAAAGATCGATACAGCAAGCAATGATGGCAGAGCTGGAGTCACAGAAAAGCAGACAAAATAAAGCCGAAATAGATCCAAACATGCCCCGCAGTGGTGGCCAAGTCATAGACCTTAATTCTAAGTACTATAGGAATGTAAGACTTTATTTCAAGCAAAAGTCGAGCAGGATCATTGAAAACCTTTGCGCGCGTCGAAGAGACTGGTAAGGTGTCGCCACCCGCGCGCAGCAGTTTGGTCCAAGGGAGAGGAGGCTATGCCGAAGACAGACAGGTGCAGAAGACCCTTCCTCATGACTCATAGACTGGCATGCAAGAACTTGCACATGGGGTGCAACCGGGCCCTACTTCAAATTAGGAACAAGCAACTGCTCGAAGTAACTTTCAGGTTCCAAAGCTCACGTGAAAGATTGCAGCTCGATTGAACCGAACACTAGGCCTCCGTCGTTCGGCAAAAGATGGCCAACGGCCGGCCGTCCGGTGCAAACTTGGTACATTTGGTAGGGCAGCACTTACAGTCGTACGCACCGCACAGAGTGCTGTGAAGTCTAAATGAAAGTCTAGGATGATGTTACGCTTTGCAAGTTGAGGTTTGAGGCTGGGCTGGAGGGGTTCAGGAACTCAAGTCGCAATGCGTTGCAACATTTGCTGCTGGAAGGTGAGAGGTCATGCGCTTAGGCTTAGAATTTAGAAGCTGCCCAAATGCTATTGTCTTTCACAGCATATAACCATTATTAAAAATAGCCCTGCCTACACACTGCTCAGCAAGAATGAAGGAGGCTGCAATTGAATCGTAAGGAGATATAAGGAGTCATCCTCCTGAAAACGCTGTCAGTACGGCCTTGGAATATTGCCACAGCGCATATGCGCGTGAGTGTTAAGAATACTATTGACCTCGTATTAGGAAGCCGTCGCGTAACTGCAATATCCAAATCTCAAAGCATAATTGCAAACCACCCCGCGATTGCAGAATCCGCCAGACCGCAAAAGAATCTGGATGCACAATGTTGCCCACACGTGCTAGATCTCTTTGCGCTACTGCTGGCTAGTTGCACAGACGGGGCGGGGAGTCGGGGGAGGGGGCTAGGCTGGAGGATGTGTGTTGTTCATGCTCGAGGGAAAACTTTGACAGCACTGTTACTGTAGGAATATCCACAAAATCTCTTATCAGCTTTCTTTCAGCAACGCGCTGAAGGCTTCCAGCGTCCGACATCTAGAAAGAACATGGCCCCCAACTGTTTGGTCCTTGAGATAGCACACTCTTCATGGCCTGCCCTTGCAATAGGACTTTGTTGTGATTGTAATCGGTTCAGACTCAGACCGGTTTGTGGTTGAGGCGTGAGCCGGGAAAACGAAAAGGTGTGAGACAGGAAAAAAGGCGTGAGTTGGCAAAAAGCGGCGAGAATCGGAAAAAAGGGCAGGCGTGAGTCGGGAACAAGGGAGGCATGAGTCAGGAAAAGCACCGTGAGTTGGGAAAAGGGAAAGCGTGAGTCGGGAAGAAAAGGCAGGCATGAGTGAGGAAGAAAAGGCGTGTGCCGGGAAAAGGCAAAGGAAAAAACATGAGTCTGTACTTTGTTTATCGCTCTCATTCGTCTTTTCTTTTCATCTGTTGCAAGATGCAGCGGGGGAGGCTTTAGCATATGTGCGTACCTGGCCTTCGCCCTTTCAACTGTCATTTCTTCCTACGTATCACAAGGTGCAACAAAAAGGGGCTGGTTTTAACGTATGTCTGTACCTGTCTTTCCCTCTGTCATGTCCTTCTGTTTACCACAAGGTGAGGAGGGGGTGGTTTTAACAGACGTCTGCACCTGGTTTTCGCTCTGTCATGTCTTTCTACTTATCGCCAAGCTGAAATGGGGGTGGTTTGAACGATTATCTGTACCTGGCGTGCCCTGGCTGAAATGGGGGTTGGTTTGAACGTATGTCTGTACCTGGCTTTCTGTCTGTCATGTCCTTCTACCTACCGCAAGGCGAAAGAGCGATGTCAACATATGTCATATGTCTGTACCCAGCTTTCCCTCTGTCATCGTCTTTCTACCTATTGCACGTTCGAAATCGGATGGTTTTAACGTAAGTCTGCGCCTGGCATTCCCTTTCTCATGTAGTTCTACCTACTTTTAGCGCAAGTGAAAACAAGGTTGATTCTAACATATGTCTGTACATTGTTTTTCCTGCGTCATGTTTGTTCTACTTATTGCGAGGTGAAAAAGGGGGTTTTAACATATGTCTGTGCCTGGTTTTCCCTCTGTCATGTCCTTCTACTTATCGCTTGGTGCCGAGAAAGTGGGTTTTTAACGTACGTCCGTACCTGGTTTTGCTTTGTTTTGCCCACACGTCTTGGTCACTGATTCTTTTGTTAAACTCCGGTTTGGCTCCCTATCTGAAAGTCTCGCCATTAATCACCGAGTGCATATCCAATCGTGGGCGATAATGTCCAATCATTGCACTGGGACTGGTGGTTACTGACGGTTCTCCTTAGCATACAATACTGGACACATCACATCTAATAGGTCATCTCCCGGTGGACTCATGCTCATTGTTCGGAGGATGCTCAGCTGCACCGGAACAAGATTACATGGGTGAACTACCTTAGACCCGTTACCGATTAGATCTCAGATCCGCTGGACTGGTTCCTCAAAACTCTGCACGGAATCTGATGGTGTGTTACTTACATGCAGACTCTACGTTACAGGGCTCATTCTCCCTCTGATCTGGCTCCGGTGCTCTTTCAGGTTCTTCTGGTCACTCACCTCCTTCTTCGATGTCCGCGTCCATGTCTTTGGCAGCGTCACCTTGCTCGGCATCAGCGTGTGTTGCTTCACAATGTTGAATGTCCAAATCCTCTTGTTGGGCAATCTCTCTGTCATGTTCGATAAGTTGTCGTGTGTCATCCTTCGTCATAACCACGCCATCGTCCCAGCGTTTCAGATTCCGAAGGGGATCTGAAACGACAACTTCGGGCCTGACTACTGTATGTCCTGACGACTGCGATTGCAACTCCTAATCAAGGTGGTATCCCTCCAACAGCCCGCATCCAACCATGGACAGCGTTCTCTGGCCCCTCAGGTCCCGGCTCCGCTTCCACAGCTTCCTCCGTCGGCGGTTCTTGAGGAATCTTTTGAAGGTATTCCAGATCTGGCTGGTTCCGCCTCTGCCATCCACGGTGGCGTGCCCCCAAAGGCTACCATCCTGTACTGTGCGCGGGTTCCGTCGCAGGAGCCATCCCTCTTGTTGCTCCAATCGCCATCAATGCCGTAGACGATGTTCCTGGCCCATTGGCCGCCAAGGGTGGCCCCTGTTGCTCTTGCTGGTTGTCACGCTCTCGGTGCGCTCGTCGCAGGGTTGCCATCATCCGATGTATGCGCGGTTCCCAGTCTGGTGTTTCCGAAACGGGCGCTAGCGGATTCCATGCGTGAGATGCTGAGCCATTGCCTCCACTAGCCTCCAAAGCAGCTGCTGGTGCATTGTTGCTTGTATGTGGTGGTGCAGTTGGCGTGGCTGCGTTTACATTCGCATGCGGTTCTGTCATCGTGCTGCCATTTGCCCCTGGTTGGTCGAGACCAGTGTTAAATTCCGGCATAGCATCCACGCTATCCGGGACATAGCCGCCATATGCGAGAATTTGTTTTTTCCGACTCCTCCTCTGCTGGTTCCACCGTTGGTTCTTGATGAAGTGGTCGTGTAGCCGTTCTGTCATCCGTTTCTGGCCGTCGCTCTTCCGCAGCTACTTCTTATTCTGGTGGTAGCAGCAGTAACCTTGAAAGCGCTGTTGGGTGCTCTGCTTCTCCGATAGGTGAATCACCTACACATGCAGCACATCATCTCAAGGCTTTGGCTTCCAAAAGGGTTCCATCCCAAGATACCATGTCATTTTGTGCTTTATCTATCTTAGGATCCCTGAGTTTCTGAGACTCACACGTCTCGCACAGCTGGCTAGACTCTCAAAATGAACGACGGAGCAGCTCTCTTCGAGTGATCCTTGAGCTCAGTTTCTGTGGCAAGCTGTGATGTTCAGCCCCTTAACGTCGGGCCGTGATTGCCTGATGAAGCGAAATCTGTTCGCATGAGGGCATGCAAAGTTTACCAGTAAGGTTGCAACTCGTCGGGTAATTTGCGGTCATACAACTCGTCGAGTAATTTGCGGTCATACGTATACCGTACGTACAATTGATGGGCCGTGCCGCCCCCAGATTGCATCGAATCCTTTCTTGCGCCTGGAATTTTTCTCTCCCCCAAGGTGTGCCTGGGCTTTCTGTATTGCAAGGTCCGTGGCACCGTGCTTGGAGATCTCGGCAAGTGCTTCTCAAACGAAGTTTTCAACGAGTTCACACAAAATCGATGTAGATACTATATTTGTGGGTTCTCACACTCACACCAAAGATCCTCCTAGCCACGGTCTGTTTTGACATGTTCGGGCTCTTGTTCCTAGAAATGCCCGTCTCACACCGGTGGTAGAATCAAAACGAGTAACTGCTTGCGCAGCCGCTCGCTGCTCCTGCAGCTGAGCTTGATGTTCAGCCACCAGCGCCGCGCTGCTTTTATGATGTGCTTGGGCTCCAAGCAACACTGGTTTGCCTAAACGTTTAAACACTCTTCGAGTGACAACGGCCGTGCAGACGAGATGCTTCCACCTACTCCCGCAGCTCCCTCTATAGCTTAGTCTCCTGCAGTTGCAGAACATATGGGTTTGCACCTGGGTTTCCTGAAGGCAGGAGTACCTGACACCTCTGTTTTTAAAAAACCCTTGTACAAACCCATAATCCCCTATAACTCTAGTTCTCATTCCGGTTCTGGGTAATTTTGTCAACCATTCCTCTGGTGTCCACGCCGGCCATCTTTTGGTTCCCTGGTTCGAGGGCTTTGCTGTTGACCTCCTACTCGTCTCTTGGTTGTCCGGGTTAGGAAGTTTGAGCGTCTCCTGGATCGTCCTGGCAGTTGCTTGCTATTCTGGCTGCATGCTTGAGCATCCGAACCACCCAGTACCAATCGAGGTGCTCATCCTCTTCGAGGTTCTCATTGAGGCTATCGTACATGGGCTGCAGCATTTGCGGCTTGATTCCAGAATAATGAAGCATTTGGCACATGTTTTCCCAGAGTTCTGCTGTCTGTCGGTCATTCAGCAGTCTACCTCTTGGGAAGCGCAAAACTGCGCGAGTGGCCTGCGACTGCAGGTTCTGCGGGGCACTCTGCCACCATCTCAAGAGCATAGGACCATCATAGGACGAAACTCTTGCAAAGCTCTTGCGCGGATAGTGGTTCTGTATGCAGAATCACCTCTCCTCTCGGCATGCAACTGCAACTGGATGTTCCTATTCCGAGTGATGGCCCTTCTCCAATCGCACCTAGCAACAACAACTTGGTTCTGCGCTGGCTTCTCTCTCTCAGCTGTTATGTCCTTCTACTTCTCGCAAGGTTGAAAAGGGGTGTGGTTTTGAAAAATGTCTGAACTTGTCTTTCTCCTGACTCGTAGTTTTTTTCTGACTCGTGCCATTTATTTTGCTGGACTCGTGGTCTCTCTCCTGACTCGCGGATTTTTTCCTGACTCGTGCCTTTTGTTTCTCCTGACTCGCCGCCTTTTGTTTTTCCTGACTCGGGCCTTTCTTCCTGACGTGTGCCTTTCTTTTTCCTGACTCGTGCCTTTTCTTTTCCCAACTCGTGCCTTTTCTTTGTCCTGACTCGTGCCTTTTCTTTTTCCTGACTCGTTTTTTTTCCTGTCTCGGGCCTCTTTTTCCTGACTCGTGCTCGTTCTTGGATACTCAGTAGGGAATTGCAGATGTAGGCAAGATATCCGACATGGATCTTCAGCACAATGCAAACGCGCAAACCAAAAAAACGCCTCCGTAGAATGCAGAGAAAAAAACGAGCCAAACTTCCCATCGAAGAGTGTGCTCCAAGCAAGTGTGTTGACATGTGTTGACTGAAGGGGAGGCGAGCAAGATGAGACGACGGAGCTGACAAAGTGACAATTTGCAGAACATTCCAACAGAACGCCTCCAAATCCTCCAAAACATCTTCGAATCAAAAAAACGCTGAGCAAGGTGAAGCCAAGTAAGCCTGCTAGGGCACAGCAAGTGAAGACTCGGGTATGGGGGCAAGGGCTGCAACCAGATTCACAAAGTTGCCGCCACAGCACCATGGTCTTTGACAGCATTGATGGCGTTGTTGTGCGCACAAAGGACCTTTGTGGTGACTACGAAAGCAGAAGAGTCCAAGCTAAGCTGTCGTCACAGACTGTTTTGCTGGCACAAGCTTGCTGCCAAACACAATGGCTTCATGATTCTTCATGCTATCGACAGTCCATGTGCTGACCGATGTCCATCCTGAAGTTGCTGCTGCCAAGGAACGAAGGAGTGATGCTTCGCATCATGGAGGCTGGTGTTCGTGCCAGAGATGACCTGAAGGGGTGCTTTTTGAGGTCTGACGGTTGCACAGGGCACGCTTGAAGCATTGACTTTCAGAATGACCACAACTAAAGTTAGATACAAGTGTCAAGCGGAGCCCAAGCTCCATCTGCCAGCTGCACCGATTGCATTCGATTGCCAAGAGTGTGACGGTGTGGCCGGAACAGAGCCCGAAGTGCTGAGCCGTCCTGATCAGCCATCTAATCAGCGCTGAGTGTCCAAGCAGCTCTGATCTAATTGAGGAGCGAAACACTGCGAGTGCTTGTAAATTGGTTCAACCAGCACAAGACACGGTGTGTGTCGCATGATTCTTCGTAAGCAGCCAGCAAAATGTGCTGAACATTGTTGCATTCAAAGCAAGGTTGCCGTCCGAACTCCTCCGGTGTGTGAAATTTAGAAGCCTGAGACAACCTCACACCATGCACCGTCGCCTTCACTGCAGTCTCTATCGCTTCAAAACTCTCAGAACATCTAGGATATCTAGGCTCGTGTTGTCTAGTCTCAGGAAACCACACAGAGCTCATGGATTTGGATTCGAAGGAATCACATTCTCATGCATTTCTATTTCTGGTTCCAAGAACTGCCCTTGCTCTGCACATCCTTGCGAGCCTTGGGCAGACTTCGACCGCTGAAACCCGGAACGACCTGGCGAGAGCACACATACGGATTTCCTTTCTATCAGCTTTCTTGGCCTCGATAGCCCTCAGCTAGCCTCCAGTGTGCCCACCGACAGAAGCTCCGGATGGAGAGGGAGCTGGGCTCGCCGCGTTTGGGCTCGCTGGAGAAGGTCTGGCAGAAGAAATCTGTCAATGCCCTCTGAGCCCAGGGCCTAGGATGATTGTGAATCCTTTACTTTTGCAGTACACTGGCTCGGATCCACTCTGAGCTTCATGTTGCTTACTGGGTGCCCCGTGCCCGTCTTGCTGGGCAACAACACCCAGAAGTGCATAGCTTGGCAGTAGGCTTTTTATACAAAGCTCAGTCGTCGGCACTTGACATGCCAAATGTGCTTCACGTGCCCACTTCTCTGTACCAGCCTCAATGGTCCAGGTGGGAACCACTGTTGGCCAGCCTCAGCAGGGTGTAAGCCGGCGTGCACGAGATCAGCAGCGGTTGGCTTGGCAAAATGCAGAAGACCAACACTTGAGAATGCTCAAGTCATGCCAACCTAAGATGTCCCCTGCGTGATTTCACAGATGACAAGCAGGCCGCAAACGGCGCAAACAGTTCTTCTGATCGTGCAGACAAGGGCAGCATGTGCAGTACTGGTCCGTGGCTTTCAGGAAGACAGGCTGCAAATAACTCTGAAGTTAACTCTGCAAGTCTCACAGCCTTTGTGCCAGTCAATTTCTTTGCTATCCTAGCTGCAGCAGCTGCGGCAGCTTAATGCAACATGCATAGGCCTGGACAACACAAGCTAATACGAAGCGCCAGAAAGCTACGTTTGCAAAGTACCGTGGACGCTCCTTTCCAGGACTTCTCCTCTTTCAGCCTTTCCAGGTGCAGCCCTCGCGAAAGACCAGGTGCCCGTCCACTGCAGATCGAGGTCGCATCTCCGCAGCACGCACCGCACTGCGGCCACAAGTGCGGCGCACCTAGCCCCAAAATGAAATGCAGCACTCAAATGCAGCCCACTTCACATAACAGCAATGCCTTCACCGCTAGTTTAAGGTGTTATTGGCCTCTGCAAGGCTCCTTTGCTTCCGCCGTCGCCATTCACGGTCGCGACGCGTGACCTCGGAAACCAGGAATCTTGATTGTCCATTGCAATCGCCCCTGGAGCCCACCCTGCCTAGCAAGGAGACACAAAGTAGCTAAGGCCTGGGCCAGGCGTCCGTCGTCTTGAACTGGATCCTCTGGCGCAAAATTGTCAGACTCTCATGGACCATGTCAAGCGGGTTGATGAGGATGAGAAATCGATTTCCCAGCCAAATCAGGCGCAATGTTGACGCAAAGTCTAATTATTGGAGAGTAATCTGAACTTGCCTAATGCTGACCTGATATGTGAATCCACTGCAAGCAAAGGCATGCCAAACGCTGCCTCAACTTCCTACTATGGCCAAGGGAGCTGTGCCGTTTGGACCCTGTTGCTTGTGCATGGTAATGCCTGAAGCACCTGTGAGCTTTCTTCGTAGAACAACACAGTAACAACGTGCATTTCCTGCCTGACAGGCCGCAACCATCTGCCGCACGCTCTGCAGTACGATCTCCTGTTCTTCATGCATTCGGCACCCCAAAGATGAGCAGGGACGTACTTGCTTGCATTTGCCGCACTCTTCCACAAGACGCAGCTGGGTTGCTATAGAGCTCCCTCCTAGGGTGGTGGCTTGGGAGCACTCGAATGGCTGTACCCAAGAGAGAGGGCTTGTCATCTGCCCGCTCTCGAGAAAGTAAGCCGAGGTAGAAGCTGCATGTGCAGGAACATACACTGTAACGTGCTGCGGAAAAATGCAAAACCAGTTTGGATACCACAGTAGGATGGTTAGCTGAAGTTGTCAACTGTCTTATTGGTAGCGAGAGCGCTCCATTTACGCCAACAGTAATAGACGGATCTGACCTTGCAGTTGCATCGATACTGCTAGCATTCGGGGCCCCAGCTTTGCTGTTGTATGGATTTTGCATGCACTCGGCGAATCCTTAATTGACGCTCAAATTTGTGTTTTCTGCGCGGTCAGTGCTGCGATCCTCCAAAGAAGACTGCTGTGCTTCAGTGTCCCCACATGTCGTGCAGGGATGAACAGGCCCCAGATTGACAGTGTTCAACCCCAATGACCGCAAACTGCAATTGTCCCACTCCTGGACCACGTCTGGCAGGGGTGAAAGGGACTTCCTACCAAGCATCATCTCCAGCATCACGTGTATGCAAGGGTGGCGGGAAGCAGACCACTCAAACAAGATCGTACGGCATGTGCTCAATACGATTTTTTCTGACCAAGGTCTTGGCGTGGGGTGCGAGTCGTACGGCACCAGCACAACGACATGGAGAACTCCCCTTTTCTCTTTGACAGCTACCGATCAAATCGTAACCTCCGACAATCTCTGACATTAATGTGCCATTGACACCGGACTCCAAAAGGACCCAAACGGACACCCTTGAATTGCCAGCTCGCTTACAGAGCTTGCGCACCTCGACATCAAGTAAAAATGGGCCACCATTGAAGTAACCTCAGGCGAGGCCATGTCGGTGATCACTTCCATCCAGCATGATTCTTGCAAAGTCCGAACCTCTGAAGATGCTGAAAATCTTGCAGCCTGCTTAACTCTGTCCAAGCACCGTCACTTCCACTTCCGAAGTATAGCTGCAGCCTGCACCGCTTTGCCGAGCAACACCGCAAGTTCACAGATGTCTGCACTGTTCTGGCAAGCCCGTGTCGAGGAGATTCGTCCGATCAGGGTACAATTGCTACATCCACTGTTCTAAGATCCAGCCACCGTAAGTGAAAGCATGTCAAGTCCTCTCAGTAACATTGATGTACGAACTTGCGAGGGAGCTGTGGTGACGTAGAGGCTTAGCATTGCATAGTCAGCCATGTGTAGCCCGCTTTTGGAGCCAGGCAACTGCCACGGCTGGACAGGATTGCCCCGACGCCGAAGAAGGATCCTGAAGGTCAAGAGGGTCCACAAACTAGAATTCATGCACTTTCGTGCAACCTGACCCCAATACATCAAGATGCGCCAAGTCTTCGAACGCTAGAACAGGATGGCCTGGGACCAGCTCTTTGACCTCCAGCTTCTCGGCCGTGAGCAGGCTCAGACGCCCTCCGTTGCAAGAATCTGCGATGCAACCACTCGGACTAGGTGGCCTCACTGGCCTCACTCGCAAGTGTGCTCGGGCCTTCCACTAAGATGCGGCAGTGGTTTGGCCGCTCGCCGCGGTGGAGCACAGTGAAGGCATAGCTCGCCCAACCTGACTTTCCCCAGGCTAAGGGCAATGAAAGCTTCTACCAAGCGCATGATATCATTATCATGTCTGCCTTTGTTGGGCAAGGCATGCCCAGCAGTACTTCAGCTGCACAATGAATGGCGAGCGACATCAAGTGACACTGGACTTTCTGCGTTGAACCCTGACATCACCAGCTTCAGTACAAAATCGAGTGAAACTGCAGTACCAGGACTTACGGGATAGGGCTTGACAAGGACAATGTCTCACAGAATGAGGGCGAATTCACTTTGCATCCAGCTTTGAAGACCACCAGTACAACCCGCCAGTCAGCATCTGAAGTCCTTTGCACAACAGCCATGGAACCAGTCTCCAGCGTCATCAGCAACATCTCCAACTCGCTTGCGCCTGAGTTAAGGTGTACACATGAGAAAAGATGCATTCGCATGTAGAAAGAATCAGGAACATTCAGGAACAATCGCAAGCGTCGACAAACTCCAGGCATAGTCTGGCAACACAACTTTTGAGCCATATCCAAGATTGCGTTGGCAGCTTTCATGTTGGCAAGACACTGCATTCGGAGAGGAAAGGCAGCGACCGAAGGCGCGAGGCATTCTCCGAGCACACGTCATCCTTTCAGGGTGTGGTAGGAGGCATTAGCATGACCTCATAGACACAAGATGTCCAAGTGCACGCCTTCTGTAAGACCTCCATGTAGAAGGACGTGACAAAGCGCAGCAAGAGAGATCTCTCCTTTGGCGACCAGGGCGTCAACGCCGGGTTGCTCGTAGTTTGCTTATCAGGTGCTGACAGCCAAGCTCTTTGAAGCAAGGGTTCTGGGTTTCCATGACGAAGTACTACTTACCACTCGTTCATCAGGATTCCAGGATAAATGATTTCCTTGCCTACCACCTTCGAGAAAGGTGGTCCTGGGCGACGGCAGTGGTCCAGCGAACATCTGTAGAGGACCTGAGGAAACAATTTGGCCAACAGCCTTTGGGATCTTCTCTGGACGATCACAGCCAATGTGCCTGATGGAGAGCATGTCCGTTGCCTATGCGTGCATGCGGGCCATTTCGTCGCTTACTTTCGCAGCGTTCCCGTGCCGCTTGCAGGCATTTCATGTTTCTGAATCACACAAGAAGTCTTGAGACATGCTTTTCTGTTGACTCAACTTAGGCTTATGGCGCGGATTAACCCCGCAGGAGTGCAGGAGCACAAAAACTGGCGGCTGCTTCATGGCCAACATGAGAACACGCACTGAGAAGGTAACTGCGAGGAAAGCCTCCTACTCGCCATGCACAAATGAGTATAGTAAATGAGGCAGTAATTACGGGCTTCACACACTGCATTTGCGTAAAGCAGGCCACTCGATGGCTGGGCACAGTGGCATGAGTTGATGAATCCGAAGCTTCTTAGCCAACCCGATTGGGATTTCGAACGCTTGCAGACGCAACTGAGCAACTGCTCAAGAACATCATGGTCTGCAAGCTGTGTTACTTAGTTGGAAGGCATAGCTGGTCAAGACCAGACCACACAAAGGCCGAAGGCCATGCAAGCTCTCGATGCACTGCCAACACTGTTTGCATGCATCCTTCTAATGCGGCACCCTGTCCACACTGCATCATCGGCACACGCAAAATCGCGACGCAACCGTCTAATCAAGAGCCCGCACCCCAAGCCCAAAATAGCCCATCAAGGACCCAGAGCCAGCAGCTAACCTCACAGTGTGACTTCACGGTGTCTGCAGACACTGAGTCTGTACAAGTCAATCTGGCATGTCCCGCGTAGGAAAGAAAATCTGTTTATCACCTGTCCAAGGACAATGAGCGTTGCAGCGCAGACGAACCGCCCCCCATGCAAGATTGCGACATGCTTGGCTACTTCGCATGAAACTGGAATACCTCATTGCCAACTCCTCTGCACCGTTTTGCAATTGCTGAGACCGGGAAAAGAAATTGGCATCGAGCCCATCTCATCTGAATCGCCCAGCCAACCATTCAAGCGACGGAAGGCAGAATGGAAAGAAAATACGAGAATCCTTGTCGGCCACCAGAAGCGCAATTGCAGCCAGCGAGCAGCGTTGTCAAGACACCATTCCCCTGCCCTGAAGGCAACCTTCCAACCTTAATGCTCCCAACCTTAATGCTCCCCGCCGTAGGACGAATCATGCGACGCATCAAAAACTTCCACGGGATGGGCGGCAGACCAACAGGTAACAATCTGCGACCTGCAGGCCTCCAGCTTGAATCCCGCAGTACCAGCCCGGATGTAGATGGCTCTCCACCAGCAACTTGCGGGCGAGGGGCTGGAACGAAAGCCAGGTCAGGTGCTGGCAGGGGTCTTGTAGACATGTGTGCACGTTTATTGGCAGGCACTCGCAGGATCTCCTTCTCACCCTGCATTGGAAGCATGTAAAAGCGACAAAAAGCTGATCTTGAGGCAGATCCACAGGGTGTGAAGGGTACAGCAGACGGTTTACGGATTAGGGTCAAGGGTGCTGCACCGTGGATACGTCTCGAAAAGGCGTCCTTGTCTGAGCTGCTTTTCTTATGGGGCAGTAAAGGCTCTGGGAGGGAAGGATATTTCCAACTTCGTAGACTATGTCACTGTGGTAATCATTCCGGATTTTCGGCCCGTCTGCAGAAGCCCCCTCGTTGCCCTCATCAATACTTCCAAGGCTGTGCTACTCTTGCTGGGTCAACGAGATCTGCAAAACAAGTGGCTAAAGTTGTTTCTAAGCGGTAGGAACCAAGCCCCTTTGGCTCCACCTCACGTGTTCTTTACATGTTCTTCTGCCGAAGAACCTAGAACTTCAACACCTGCTTATAAACACTGAAAAAACACACACTCGGCCGGATCGCCTGGGCGCAACCTATCTCCAAAAATCGGAGCAAGAATGTTACCCGGCCAGGGGTCCCTCCCCCACACTCCTTGTTGCAGGCTATCACTCGCAAGCGCCGAAAAAACAACGGCTTTAGCACTCAATTGCCCAATATTACCCACAAAGCATGCCGGAAAGGTGAAGTAGGGTTGGAACTTAAGCCCTATAAACTCCAACACCCAATTGCAGA